CAGCCTAGCTTGGGGCCGAAGCGCTTCGCCCGCTCGCGCACTCGATCCGAGTGCTCGGCGCGCGCGGCGCGGCAAGCTGGGGCGGCGACCCCCTCCACCTCCTCCTGTTCTCTGTCCTCCTTTCTAAGCTTGTCCTCTTCCTGTCCTCCCCCCTGTTCCTCCTCCTTTTCCACTGTTCCCTCCTCTCTCCCCGGCCTGGCCTCGGCCCTCCAGATTCCTCCTCGTCCAATATTCCGCTTCCTCGACCGAGGGGATCCGTTTATCGGAGGAATGACATCATCATGCTAAAAATCAGATGTCGAGAAGGATACGAAGGTTGGAGGAGAAGTTTTTGGAGGGCGAACGATCCCACATGGAATGTTGACTAGTATAACTAGTGTGTTGATTCTATATATGGCCCATGTTGGTTCAACATGAGTCATGTTGATTCAACATGAGCCGATAATCGCGCCAGCGGTTGTTGAGTGGCATAATCGAGCCAGCGCAACATAATCGAGCCAGGCGGGCGGCGCGAAAAAATCATGACTCTAAGATGTGTGGGGAGCTGCCGGCGGCAAAAATGATGGATTGGAATGATCCCCAACCGGAACCGGAACCGGAACCGGAACCGGAACCGGAACCGGCACTTTCCTGCATGTCTGCAACGTCCAACCCAGAGCTGCCGGCGGCAAAGATGATGGATTGGGATGATCCCCGACCGGAACCGGAACCGGAACCGGAACCGGAACCAGCACTTTCCTGCATGTCTGCAACGTCCAACCCAGAGCTGCCGGCGGCAAAAATGATGGATTGGGATGATCCCCAAGCGGAACCGGAACCGGATTCGGAACCGGAACCCGAACTGGAACCAGCACTTTCCTGCATGTCTGCAACGTCCAACCCCATGCTGCCGGCGGCAAAGATCATGGATTGGGATGATCCCCAACCGGAACTGGAACCGGAACCGGAACCGGAACTGGAACCGGAACCGGCACTTTCCTGGATGTCTGCAACGTCCAACCCAGAGCTGCCGGCGGCAAAGATGATGGATTGGGATGATCCCCAACCGGAACCGGAACCGGAACCGGAACCGGAACCAGCACTTTCCTGCATGTCTGCAACGTCCAACCCAGAGGTGCCGGCGCAAAGATGATGGATTGGGATGATCCCCAACCGGAACCGGAACCGCAACCGGAACCGGAACCAGCACTTTCCTGCATGTCTGCAACGTCCAACCCAGAGCTGCCGGCGGCAAAAATGATGGATTGGGATGATCCCCAACCGGAACCGGAACCGGGAACCGGAACCAGCACTTTCCTGCATGTCTGCAACGTCCAACCCAGAGCTGCCGGCGGCAAAAATGATGGATTGGGATGATCCCCAACCGGAACCGGAACCGGAACCAGCACTTTCCTGCATGTCTGCAACGTCCAACCCAGAGCTACCGGCGGCAAAGATGATGGATTGGGATGATCCCCAACCGGAACCGGAACCGGAACCGGAACCGGAACTGGAACCGGAACCAGCACTTTCCTGCATGTCTGCAACGTCCAACCCAGACCTGCCGGCGGCAAAGATGATGGATTGGGATGATCCCCAACCGGAACCGGAACCGGAACCGGAACCGGAACCGGAACCGTAACCAGCACTTTCCTGCATGTCTGCAACGTCCACCCCAGACCTGCCGGCGGTAAAGATGATGGATCGGGATGATCCCCAACCGGAACCAGAACCGGAACCGGAACCGGAACCGGAACCAGCACTTTCCTGCATGTCTGCAACGTCCAACCCAGAAGTACCGGCGGCAAAGATGATGGATCGGGATGATCCCCAACCGGAACCGGAACCGGAACCGGAACCGGAACCGGAACCGGAACCGGAACCAGCACTTTCCTGCATGTCTGCAACGTCCAACCCAGACCTGCCGGCGGCAAAGATGAATTGGATTGGGATGATCCCCAACGGTGGTCCAGAACGGAACCGGAACCGGACGGGCCCAGAACCGCAACGGAACCAGCACTTTCCTGCATGTCTGCAACGTCCAACCCAGGCTACCGGCGGCAAAAATGAGTGGATTGGGATGATCCCCGACGGACGGAACCGCAACGAACCGGAAGCACTTCCTGGCATTTGCACGTCCAACCCAGAGCTGCCGGCGGCAAAAATGATGGATTGGGATGGTCCCCAACCGGAACCGGAACCGGAACCGGAACCGGAACCGGAACCGGAACCGGAACCAGCACTTTCCTGCATGCCTGCAACGTCCAACCCAGACCTGCCGGCGGCAAAGATGATGGATTGGGATGATCCCCAACCGGAACCGGAACCGGAACCGCAACCGGAAATGGAACCGGAACCGGAACCAGCACTTTCCTGCATGTCTGCAACGTCCAACCCAGAGCTGCCGGCGGCAAAGATGATGGATTGGGATGATCCCCAACCGGAACCGGAGCCGGAGCCGGAGCCGGAACCGGAACCAGCACTTTCCTGCATGTCTGCAACGTCCAACCCAGACCTGCCGGCGGCAAAGATGATGGATTGGGATGATCCCCGACCGGAACCGGAACCGGAACCGGAACCGGAACCGGAACCGGAACCGGAACCGGAACCAGCACTTTCCCTGCATGTCTGCAACGTCCAACCCAGAGCTACCGGCGGCAAAGATGATGGATTGGGATGATCCCCAACGGAACCGGAACCGGAACCGGAACCGGAACCGGAACCAGCACTTTCCTGCATGTCTGCAACGTCCAACCAAGAGCTGCCGGCGGCAAAGATGATGGATTTCGATGATCCCCAACCGGAACCGGAACCTGCAACCGGAACCAGCACTTTCCTGCATGTCTGCAACATCCAACCCAGAGCTTGCCGGCGGCAAAAGATCATGGATTGGGATGATCCCCAACCGGAACCGGAGGAACCGGAACCGGCACTTTCCTGCATGTCTGCAACGTCCAACCCAGAGCTGCCGGCGGCAAAGATGTGGATTGGGATGATCCCCAACCGGAACCGAAACCGGAACCGGAACCGGAACCAGCACTTTCCTGCATGTCTGCAACGTCCAACCCAGACCTGCCGGCGGCAAAATGATGGATTGGGATGATCCCCAACCGGAACCGGAACCCGGAACCGGAAACCCGGAACCGGAACCAGCACTTTCCTGCATGTCTGCAACGTCCAGACCAGACCTGCCGGCGGCAAAGATGATGGATTGGAATGGTCCCCAACCGGAACCGGAACCGGAACCGGAACCGGAACCGGAACCAACACTTTCCTGCACGTCTGCAACGTCCACCCCCGAGCTACCGGCGGCAAAGATGATGGATTGGGATGATCCCCAACCGGAACCGGAACCGGAACCGGAACCGGAACCAGCACTTTCCTGCATGTCTGCAACGTCCAACCCAGAGCTGCCGGCGGCAAAGATGATGGATTGGGAGATCCCCGAACGGAACCGGAACCGGAACCGGAACCGGAACCGGAACCAATTTACTGCATGTCTGCAACGTCCAACCCAGAGCTGCCGGCGGCAAAGATGATGGATTGGGATGATCCCCAACCGGAACCGGAACCGGAACCGGAACCGGAACCGGAACCGGAACCAGCACTTTCCTGCATGTCTGCAACGTCCAACCCAGAGCTGCCGGCGGCAAAGATGATGGATTGGGATGATCCCCAACCGGAACCGGAAACCGGAACCGGAACCAAAACCAGCACTTTCCTGCATGTCTGCAACGTCCAACCCAGAGCTGCCGGCGGCAAAAATGATGGATTGGGATGATCCCCAACCGGAACCGGAACCGGAACCGCAACCGGAAACAGCACTTTCCTGCATGTCTGCAACGTCCAACCCAGACCTGCCGGCGGCAAAAATGATGGATTGGGATGATCCCCAACCGGAACCGGAACCGGAACCGGAACCGGAACCGGAACCGGAAGCGGAACCAGCACTTTCCTGCATGTCTGCAACGTCCAACCCAGAGCTACCGGCGGCAAAATGATGGATTGGGATGATGGGATGAACCCCAACCGGAACCGGAACCGCAACCGGAACCGGAACCGGAACCAGCACTTTCCTGCATGTCTGCAACGTCCAACCCAGAGCTGCCGGCGGCAAAGATGATGGATTGGGATGATCCCCAACCGGAACCGGAACCGGAACCGGAACCGGAACTTTTCCTGCATGTCTGCAACGTCCAACCCAGACCTGCCGGCGGCAAAGATGATGGATTGGGATGATCCCCAACCGGAACCGGAACCGGAACCGGAACCGGAACCGGAACCGGAACCGGAACCAGCACTTTCCTGCATGTCTGCAACGTCCAACCCAGAGCTGCCGGCGGCAAAGATGATGGATTGGGATGATCCCCAACCGGAACCGGAACCGGAACCGGAACCGGAACCAGCACTTTCCTGCATGTCTGCAACGTCCAACCCAGACCTGCCGGCGGCAAAGATGATGGATTGGGATGATCCCCAACCGGAACCGGAACCGGAACCGGAACCGGAACCGGAACCGGAACGTCCGGGGGTCATAATGTCTAAGCATACACACATGCATGCATGCATGCATGCATTGTATATGAACATATATATATATAGAACGAGAGAGAATTCCCGCGTCGCCAAACTGATCCCACCTGTGCTGTCACGCCCACGCCCTGCTCCTCACCCTCACCCCACTCAAGAGACAAAGACCTCGGACGCAATGGCCCAGCGCCGCGAGAGCGCCGGCAGGAACACCAGCACCGTCGTCCATGGACACTTTCCATCGGACTCTTTGCCGAGGAGGCCCTGCCGGGGCTTCCAGCGATCGGCGACAACAACAAACAGGTCTGCTTTTCCAGGGCATCTTTCGTCGAGCTCCTGGGTCACCCAACTTCGCGCACTGCCGAGGGCCAAAGGCCGCGGCATCGACACGCAGGCCTACTCTACCGTGCACTGCCTGCTCGCCACCTGCCGCCTGCCTCGAGCCCTGTGCCGCTGCCGGCAGGCTCGGGGGACACCCTCCGGCTCCCCTCCGCGGCTTCAGGAGGAGCTGCTGCACCTCCCCTCCAGTGTGCAAACGCAGTGGAGGGGCTCGTGGGTGAGCAAAGACAGCACATGGGACACCCAGCTGCGGTGAACCCGACGGCGTGCTACTGGTGAAGAGAATACCAGGCTTAGGTCGGGCCTGTCCCCCTAAAGGGGGATCTTGGGCGGAAAAAAACTCCAAAAATGCTCAAAAATAGTCTGAAAATCATCCCCTGACTATCTTTACTATTTTTGAATATCCCTCCTGTAGGGGGACAGGCCCGACTTAATGCCAGGCCTCCAGAGACAAAAACGAAGGAGCAACACGCCGATGAGCTCCCAGCGGCGGCGTGCCACTGATCCACCAGAAGGAGAAAACTGCCACCACCAGCTAGGGGGGCCGGTCGCTCCTCCCCCCCGCACACCCGAGATGATGGCGCCCCGTCCCAGGCGCGCCCCCCAGAGAGAGTGCCTACAGCTGTGTGCCACCAGCAGTGGGGGGGCGCCTTCGGGAACGGTGTTCTAGGGGTCATGGTGGTGGTGGCTCTGTTTGCCCTCATGATTGACACTGTGTTTCCCTCCCGATCTCGGCTCTTCCCCAGCCGTTCTCCCCCCTCCCGCCTCGGGAGAGAACGGAGCAGGGAGGAGAGCGGAAAGGGGGGAGGCAGAAGGAGGCGAAGGCAGCGAGCAAGCGAAGTTGGCAGATTGGTGGTGGAGGGGAGGGGGCGGGGGTGGGGGCGAGGACGAGGAGAACAACTACCTACCAGACCAGCCCAACCCAACCCGAAGACCCGAACTTCGGATTGGAGGGGGGACGGGTCCCACATGTTTTTTCAATGTTCCACAACGGACGCCCCCCCACTGGGAATTGAGGGCAGGTCGGTGCCTTCGGGTTGGGTCGGGTTGGCTCGGTGGGTGGTGAGAGGAGGCAGAGGAGGGAAAGGCGGGGAAGGAAGGAAGCAGCCACTGCTCCGGAGCTTCCTGGTCGCAGCCACTGCTGCTCAGCGCTCCGGCCTCCCTCGCAGGAGCTGCAGCTCCCGGCCTGCCCACCTCCCGCCCACAGCCTCCGACACGCTCGCCTCCCCAGTGGTCTGCCCGCTCTCCCTGTGCCCTGCCCTCCCTGCCTACCCATCCTGCGCCGCCCGACCCTTCCCGCTCCACAGCCTCCTCCCTTCCCTCCTGTTCCTCCTTGTCCTCCTTTTCCTCCTCCTCATCCTCCTCCTCCACTTTCGCCTCCTCCTCCTCCTCCTCCTCCTCCTCCGCCTCCTCCTCCTTCTCCTCCTCCTCCTCCTCCTCCTCCTCCTCCTCCTCCCCCTCCTCCCCCTCCTCCCCCTCCTCCTCCTCCTCATCCTCATAGTCATCCTTCACATTCTCCTCATCCTCCTCCTCCTCCTACTCCTCATCATCATCATCATCATCATCATCATCATCATCATCATCATCATCATCATCATCATCATCATCATCATCATCATCATCAGCAGCAGCAGCAGCATCATCAGCATCATCAGCATCACATCATCCTCATCATAATCATAACTATCATCATCAGCAACATCAGCATCATCATCAGCATCATCATCATCAGCATCATCAGCAACATCAGCATCATCATCATAATCAGCATCATCATCATCTGCAGCATCATCATCAGCATCATCATCATAATCAGCATCATCAGCATCATCAGCATCATCATCATCATCATCATCATCATCATCATCATCATCATCATCATCATCAATTGGCTTCCCGAGGCCCGTCGGAAAGACGGGCAGGGCGGGCCGCCGCTTGACACTTCCTCATTATGTACGATCCTGCAGCTTGCAAATCGCCATAATTTCACGGATGGAGGGCGGGTGGTTTTCAAAATGTGGCTCTCGCTTTAGCCCCGCGAACATTCGTGATAGAAATCTACAACAGTCTAACGGATACAAGGCGGGTCGTTTTCAAAAGATGGCTCTCGCCATAACGCTGCGTGCATCCGTCTAAAACATGTGCAAGGGTTCGCGGATTGAGGGCGGGTTGTTTTCTGTTGTCCTCGCCTTAGCACCGCGCATATTCGTCATCGATATCACGGTCGTTTTCGAAATGTGGCTCTCGCCTCAGCGCCGCGCACAATCGTTATAAACAATTTGGACAGTTTCACGGATTGCGAGCGGCTCAGTTTCGAAAGGTGACTCTCGCCTCAGCGCCGCGCACATTCGTTTTAAGGGTTCGCAACAGTCTCAAGGCGTCTCATGGTTAACGTCCCAGAAATGGTGTGTTGGCACTATGTCGGGCTGCCAGGGCGCAACGGTTGCAATCATTCGCTGCGATGAAGTCCCTGACGTGGTGTTCTGGCACGGTTCAGGATCGTCAAGACGCAACAGTAGCGGTGACTCACAGCGCTGAAGTCACAGGAATGGTGTTCTGGGACAGTTCAATGTATGGGCCTATCAAGGAAGAAGTTGGAAGGAGGATGTATTGCAACATCGTTGATGAGTCTTGCACTTACACCGGTTCTCATCATCATCATCATCATCATCATCATCATCATCAGCAGCAGCAGCATCATCAGCAGCATCATCATCCTCATCCTCATCCTCATCCTCATCCTCATCCTCATGCTCATCCTCCTCATCCACCTCCTCTTCCTCCTCCTCCTCCCCCTCCTCCTCCTCATCCTTCTCCTCCTCCTCCTTCTCCGCCTCATCATCGCTCCTTCATTGCACCATCGCGCCTTGCCCCGTCTCACCCTGTCTCCATTGCCTCTCCTCCTGTCCTGCCCCACCTCCGCGTCATCATCCCCCTCCCGGCCGTTTCCCCCCGCTCGTGCCATCCCTCTCGTCCTGGTGCTGTAAGCCAGCTGCTGGCCTAGAGGGATGCCTCGCCTCAATGATCAAAGCCTCACGCCGCATCCCGCTCCCCTCCGCGAGGTCGTCGGCGTCGAATTTAGAGTCCGACTACATTGCGGAGAGTACGTCTCTCTCCGATAGCCCGGGCCATATTCATACATATCTAAAAAAGGCTACCTCACACAGCAACTACCCTAAGCAAGAACCCAGGCAAAACTCGACAGTCGCGGTACACCATGGCAGTTGAACCATTGCCTCCAGCAAAACCGCGCTCACATTCCAAATCTACAGTCCGTGGCCGCCAACATTCCCAAGACTCCATTTAAGCTTCCTCAAGCTGGGTTCCAATACGCCAGAGAGGTCACCACGACGGTTCAAGAAGCCCCAAAAAGCCAAACTCGTTCCAAATCCTCGGCGAAACGTACGTGTAGCATACTCGCCACTTTCGTCTTGGCAGCGTTCAAGACGGCCCAAGAGCCCCAAAGATCGTCCCAAGATGGTCCATAAGGCCCCCAAGAGGTCCCCAAGATGGCCAAGACGGCACCAAGACGAGCCCAAGAGGGGAAAGTCGAACTGTCATGTTGAACACTTCCCCTCAAGATATCCCCAAGAGCCCCCCAAAGGCCGTGGAGGCGTCCCCAAGGCCCCTGAGAGGCCTCCAAGAAGCCCCCAGAAGCCCCAAAGAGGCAATTAAGAAGCCGAAAAAAGCCCCCAGGTGCCCCAAGATCCGCCCAACGGAACCTTGAAAGGCATCCCAGGAGACACTCATATGCATCCAAGAGTCTGCTGACCCACAGCACAGCCCAGGCACGGTGGCGGGTTGGTCCGAAGGCCACTAGATAACTTTCACGATCCACGCAAGTTCTCACTCCTTCTGGGGGTCGGCGGAATAGCGTAAGCCACTTGAACAGACCTGCCTCGTAGAACCACTTCTCATTAGCACACCCGTCCCTGCCCAAACAAACCTCGTCCAACTGCTGCTGCAAGTTGAAGATGTCCTTGCAGCCGCGTTGCGCGCGTTACGCTTGGAGCTTCAAAGGGGCATATCGAAAAATAAAGCTTCGCGAAGGCAGCAATGCAACCTGTTACAAACGATTGCTTCAGAAACGTGTACGAAAACTTGCTCTAACGAGACGGCACGCTGAGTGTGCCAGGCGTGACAGTGTCCCGAGTGGACATGTGGAGGCTGTGTGGCAATGTTGACTCGAACGTGCCTGCGTCGTGCATCATGACTGTAATGAGGATGGCTGTTCCAAAGGCTACTGCGACGTGATTGTTATGACTGTGCCTGTGCAAGGAATCGCGGAAGGGGGAGTTGACTACACCATAATTGTGTGCAGCGCGAGTGTTCGAACTTAATGTGCCACTAGTGATTGGGCTGCGCGTCAACTGTAACGAAGGCGATGTTACCACGAACGGAACCACGGTGATGATACCAAGTCTCGTTAGCCCGGAGGGGCTAGCAGGGTGGCTGTACCCAAGTGACTGGGCCAAGGGCGTTTACACAATTATCCAACTGGCATGCGAGGCACGAGCAGCCTAACGAAGTCTCATCCTACCCATAAGAGCCCATAGTAGTCCCCGCCCCGCGGGACAAGATTTGCTGGGGTTGCATATTCCAGCTGCGCACGTGAATTGTATCCGATTGCTTGCAGATGTGCTGTGCATGCGTATTGCGCATGCCTGCATGATGACTGGCTGTATCTTGCACCTCCGCAAGAGAGTGAGTTCAACACGGTCGTCTCCTTGATCTCGGCAATGGGCACAGACACCGGCTTAGCGGCGCTGACAACGCCTGTCCATCCCACCGTGCAGGGATATGACTCATCCAAACGAGTGCTGCAACCCTGTGCAGCATCCATTTCAGACAACGTAACGGCAATAAGCACACACACACATCCTGTAACCACGTGTTAGGAAGAATTGTCATCATGCTTCAAGGCCATACCGCAAATAACAAGGCAACGCAGGCCTTAAACACGTTGACACCACAAGGAGGCCATGGATTATGTTTGCGAGACTTTCATCCTGAGACGCTAGATGAGCTAGCAGCGCCATCTTCGTTTTCACGCTCCTCCGCGGACTTCAAGATATGCGAAACATTATCATCCATCCCAATCACCTCTGCTGGGATGCACCACATGCTCCCATGTGATACAAGCCCATCACTGCTGATTATCCTGTCGGACCGATGCCTGCTTGGAACAACTTGCTACGACTTGTTGTCCCGGTCCCTCTGTCGTTCTTTCTGCCTATTCCAGTTGCTCGTGCGGCTGGTCTTCGCCCAACTCGGATTCCATCCGCTACCGTGCCCCCTGGCACGCTGCGGCGTGGAAGAGTGCGAAGTGCTGTCTGGCAGGGTTTCTGTAGTCTTCTGAGGAACCCACCTCCTCCTCCTCTCACCACGCCCAGCTGCATGCATCGTCCCTCCTCCCCAGGGCCCCTGGGCGGCCATGGCGCCTCACTGGGGCTCTCCAAACCTTCCAAGACAGCCCAAGAAGGCCACCAAGGCCGTCAAGACGACCCAACATGCCTCCAGGACGGCCCAAGATGGCTCTAAGAGTGCCCAAGATGTCCCCATGGCGGACCAAGATGGCATCAAGATGGCTGAAAGAGGCCCCCGTTACGGTTCAACAGGGCTTCAAGAGGAGCCATCCAGAGGGCCAGAAATTGCAAAAACAAATGATTCCACTGAGGTGTTCCATTGCCTTTCGGATTCTCACGGTTGCGGGCTTCCGTCACCTCAAAAACGGCCCGAGGGCTGCGAAAGCCCAAGGAGGGCCCATGGACGGCCTAGAACGGCCCCAAGAGAGCCTCGAGCTGACCCAAAAGGGCCTCCAAGACGGCCTGAGAGGGCCCCTGGACGACCCCAGCACGGCCCGGAGAGAGCCCCAAGACGGCCCAAAAGAGCTCAAAGACGGCCCAAAACGATCCAAGAAGGCTGCTGGCTGCCTCACAGAAGCCCCAGCCAGCCCTCAAACTGTCCATTGAGCTCTGTGAGAACTCCGAAAAGCGCCACATGTGACAGCCTGCCCCTTCCTCCTCGTCCTCCTCCTCATCCTCCTCCTCATCCTCATCATCATAATATTTATCATCATTATCAGAATCATAATCATCATCCTCCTCCTCCTCCTCCTCCTCCTCCTCCTCCTCCTCCTACTCATCATCATCATCATCATCATCATCATCATCATCATCATCATCATCATCATCATCATCATCATCATCATCATCATCATCATCATCATCATCATCATCATCATCATCATCATCATCATCATCATCATCATCATCATCATCATCATCATCATCATCATCATCATCATCATCATCATCATCATCATCATCATCATCATCATCAGCATCATCATCATCATCATCATCATCATCATCATCATCATCAGCATCATCATCATCATAAGCAGCATCATCATCATCATCTTCATCATCAGCATCATCATCATCATCATCATCAGCAGCATCAGCATCATCATCATCATCATCATCATAAGCAGCAGCATCATCATCATCCACATCAGCATCCTCATCATCAGCAGCAGCATCATCAGCATCATCAGCATCATCAACATCAGAATCAGCAGCATCATCATCAGCAGCAGCATCATAATCGTTAGCATCAGTATCATCATCATCATCATCATCATCATCATCATCATCAGCATCATCATCATCATCATCATCATCATCATCATCGTCATCAGCATCATCATCAGCATCATCAGCATCATCACCATCTCACCATCATCATCAGCATCATCGGCATCGTCGTCGTCGCCATCGCAAACATCATCGACACCACCACCACCACCATCATCGCCATCATCATTCCGACAGTCGCCACCCAGAGTGCTGGGCTAGCACGCCCCAAAGGACCCGAGGCGGCCTCAGAGGACCCCATAAACTGTGCAACACTGCCTCAAGAGCCGCAAGACGGCCGAGGGCCCCCAAACTGCCAAAAGATCCCCATGGGGTCCCCAAGACTGTACGACAGGAGCCCAAGACAGCCTTCAGACAGCCCGAAGTTGCTCCATGAGAGCTCCTCAGGGTGGAGACGGAAGGGGTCACATGTGACATCTGTTCAATTCCTCCTTCCATGGTCGTCCTCATCATTATCATGATTGCCATCATCAACAATATCCTCATCACCGTTCGAAACGCCATCACGCAAGGTTCTGGGTAGGCATCCCAAGAGTTCGCGGTCGTCATCGTCATTGCGGGCGTCGACGTCAAGTCGAGAGAGGGAGGACTCGACCCGCAGCGAGGCCTTGACCAACTCTTTAGGTATCTACCCAAACCGCCGAGCAAGCGGTATCCGCAACTCCATCGCGGACGTCATTCGGCATTAACGCAGGATTGTCAACCTCGTGGTTGGCGCCCAAGACGCCGAAGGCGCCTGTTCCTCATGATCAGTATCCTCTACATCGTCATCATCAGCATATTCATCATCATCATGATCATCATCCTCAGCAACATCATCATGATCAGCGTCGCCGTCTTTGTCGTCACCGTCATCAGCATCATCAGCATCAGCATCATCACCATCAGCATCATCATCCTGATCATCATCATGTTCGTTATCAACGAAAGCATTATCAGTTATCATCCACATCATCATCATCATCAGCATCATCATCATCGTCATCAACATCATCCTCATCAACAGCATCAGCATCGGCATTACCATCGGCTCCACCATCCTCATGACCATCAGCATCGTCAACATCGTTCTAATCATCAGTACCATCATCAGCATCGCAAGAAGAATAACCATAATGATCATTCTACAACTAAGACAATAGTAATAACCATAGTGCTCATCATCAGCAACATCATCAACCTCAACATCGTCATCACCACCACCACCACCATCATGATCATCACCCTCAGCATCTTCAGCAGCAGCAGCATCAGCACCATCCTTATCAGCATCCTCTTCATCCATCATCATCACCGTCGTCCAGCATCACCGTCATCATCATCATCATCATCATCATCATCATCATCATCGTCATCGTCAGCATCATGATCATCAGCAGCAGCAGCATCGTCAACATCACTACCAGCATCAGCATCATCACCATCGTTAGCATCATCAACATCATCATCGCCACCACTATCCTCATGATCATCAGCATCGTCAACATCCTCATACTAATCAGCATCACCATCAGCATCACAATCAGAAAAACAATACTAATTGAAAGATGTTTGCAGACATGATACAACTAACAATAATACGAATAGCGATAATGTTCATCATCATCAGCAGCATCATCAACATCGTCATCCCCAAGACCACCACCACCGCTACCACCATCGTCATCATCATCAGCAGCATCATCAGAATCAGCAGCATCGTCGTCGTCATCATCATCATCAGCAGCATCATCATCAACTCATTATCATCATAATCATCGTCGTCGTCAGAATATGTATCATCATCAGCAGCATCATCATCCATCACCATCAGCATCATCATCGTCAGCATCATGTTCATCAGCAGCAGCAACAGCATCGTCAACATCAATATCACCATCAACATCATCCACAGCAGCAGTATCAATATCATCATCAGCATCATCAGCAGCATCATCAGCATCATCATCGTAGCCATCTTTGTCAACATCATCAGCGGCAGCATCATCAACATCACTACCACCCGTAGCATTATCGTTATCATCATCATGATAAGCCTCGTCATCACCTTGATCATCATCATCACCACCATCGTCATTGTCATCATAATCATTATCATAATCATCACCCCCATCCATGGTCATCATGAGCAGCAGCAGCAGCGGCGTCATCATCATCATCGCCACCACTACCTCCACCACCATCATCAGTAACAGCATCGCCATTATCATCATCATCATCATCATTACCATCCTCATCACGGCTCTCCCATCCTCGAACAGGCGCCACCCAGTACGCTGGGCTGGAACTGTGGCGGCACTTGCCGCAGGCAGTTAGAAATCCGTGGTGTCTGCCGGTGCTTCTGTGCGCAACGAATCTGCGCGAAGTCACGCACGACCAGGCTCAGCATGGCTCCCGAAAAGCATGCTGGAGATGACTCGTATCCTCCTCCTGCTCATGCGCCCCCTCTCCGTCTGCTTCCTCCTGTACGGGGTGGAGACCCCAGAACTGTGAAGGAGCGCACTCAGAGGGCCCTCCGGCCTATCTGGCGCTCGAGCTTCTCAAACAACTTCTCCTTGCCGTCCACCTTGGCCTTCTGAAGCCTCATCTTGAGACCTCCCCCCCGATTTTCCCCTCGAACCCCTCCATTCCACCCCTGCCCTCCACGCGCAGGAAGAATGCAACATTGAGTGCCAAACCCTCGCGGGGAGCGACAGCAAAGACCAGAGGGCAAAGAATGTGGCCGGCCTAGGAGGCCAGGCGGGAGGTCGGGGGAGATCTATACCCTCGGAACCTGATGTCTGGGCATGCCCCCAGCGGCCATCAAGACCTGCTTCTTTGCTGAGAAGGCACCCATCCCAGGGCCCAGGACGGCCCAGGCCGGGCATACTGCTGTACGAGTGCCTTCTGCGGGCTGCTTGCACATCTCCACCGGCGGCTGGCATGCGGGCACCTGCTGACATGAAGTATGGACCCATGGATCTGGCGCGTGGGGGAGGCTGAAGGGGCCCTGGAGCACACAAATAAATACACACAAACAAAACGAGTCCCCATAGTTTCCTGTATTTCCTGGGATTCCGTCTTCCCCCCCCACTTCCCATAGTTTCCCATATCTTCTGGGGAATCGACGATGACTTGTGTCGAATGCTGGCGCCCGCGCGCGCCGAGCCCGCACGGAAGCAGGCCTCTCTCTGGCGGCGCCGCGCGCCTCCCCGTGCGGGCCGCCCGCGGCTTTTCCCGAGCCGCCCGTGCACGTGCGGGCCCTTGCCCCCGGAGGCGTCCCGTGCCGCCCGACGACGGCGCCGTCCGTCGTCGTCCGTCGTCGCCGTCGCCGTCGCCGTCCGTCGTCGTCCGTCGTCGTCGTCCATCGTCGACGTCGACGTCGTCGTCCGCCGTCGGCGCAGTCGTCCGTCGTCGTCGTTGTCGTCGTCGTCCGTCGTCGTCGCCGTCGTCCCCCCGGGTTCGCCGCTGAGCAAGAGTGAAGGGGCCCTGGGACACACAAAAGTAAATAGATACAAATAACAGGATTCCCAATGTTTCCCCATATTTCTTGGGTTTCTGTCTTCCCCCCCAATTCCCCATATTTCACAATATTTTCTGGGTTTTTGCCGGGAGCCAAAAGTCAGGTGGTGAGATACAGTGCGGGCGCGGCCGCAAGAAACCCTCGCAAGAAACCCAACCCTGAGAACCCGTGCGCGAGGTACACCCAAGGGGAAACCCGGAGCACCCTGAACGCAGCAGCTCCTTCAAGGCTGCGGGAAGTCACCGCGCAGCGCGAGGAGCGAAGAAACCCAGGATACCTGACGAAAAGCACACGGTTTCTTGATGCGCATTCCCACTGTACATAGCAGGTGGTGACCTGGGATCCCCAAAAAGTCACTGCTGAGTTTCGGGACACAGGGGTCGCCGCTGCGTTCTGCGACTCCTGGACCCGCCAGCGTTCGGGGCCTCTTCGAAAAAAAAACACACGAATCCCCAAACCAGGTGGTGACACCAAATCGCCCGAGACTCACCGCCGGGTGTTGTCACCACCACATTTGGGGACTACCAACTCCACCTGAGGGCTCGATCTAAACAGTGTCTTTCGTTTTCGTGTTGGTTTCGTTGTCCTTCGGTCCGCACTCTTGCTGCTAAAAGAAACCAAAGCGAAAACGGCCCACGAAAGCGCCAAAAGTCCGTTTGGCTGGAGCCCTGCTCCACCTCCACGTGCCATCCCTCAGGGCTCGATCGAAACAGTGTCTATCTCGTTTTCGTGCTGGTTTCGTCGTCCTTCGTTCTGACTTCGTCCCGCCCTTGTGCTGCAAAACGACATCAAAACGAACACGGTCCACAAGATCGCCAAGAATCCGCTCAGCTGGAGCCCTGCTTGAGGGGCAAGGATAGGGGGGGACTGGCATAGGGGGGGAATGCATCGACCTGGAATCGGCGATAGATCGCCAATAGATCGGCGATGGGCCTCCGATAGTGCATCCGCACCTTCCTGGGCAGGCTGGGGCCATCGGGCCCCTGTCGACGATCAGTGGGCGATTGGGGGTCGGTGCATCCCCCCCTGGGCCCATCCCCCCCCTATCTTGGTGGCCCCCAAACCAGGTGGTGAGACACCCGGTGGTGACCTGAAATCCCAAAAACGTAATTTCTAGGTTTGGGGACACAGGGTCACCACCGGGTTTCGTGATTCCCGGAACCACCCGCGCTCGAGACATCCTCGAAACACCACCCGAGTTCCAAAACCCGGTAGTGACACCAATTCGCCCCAGACTCACCACTGGGTGTTCTCACCACCACGTTTGGGGACCCCCCCCTATCGCTGCCCCTGACTGCTCCCGGCTCCACATGCCATCCCTGGCCGGGGCCCCCCTGGGCACCCTCTGGGGACGGCCCTGGCGGGGCAGGGCGGCAGAGCGGAGGGGTGCCTGCTGTCTGCGGGCTCCGCGAGGGTCGCGGGCCCGGGAAGCTGCACGCTGCCCTCCCCCCTACAGGGGCGCAAGGACACACAGATAAATGCGCACACAAATCGTAGGATTCCCCATCTTTTCCCATGTGTTTTTGGGTTTTCGTCTTCCCCCCCACTTCCCATGTTTTCCCATAGTTTTCTGAGAATCGGCGATTAATTGTGTCTGTGTTTTTCCCCCTCCTGACTCCCCCCTTCCCCACTCTGAAGCGTCGGCTCCAGCTCTTCGGCTGTCAGCTCGCCTGCGTCCAAGGTGGCATTCATGGAGGTCGTCAGGAAGGCGGACTTTTCCTCGCGTGCGCTCAAGGCGCATGATACTGATGAGGCGCATGGGCGCAAAAGTCCCTGCGTAGCAAGAGATGTGGAGGAGAGGGCCGAGGCTGGCAGAAGCGATACTCCCGATGGAGACGTACCCTTGATCCTTACTGGGGCCCATCTCCCTATTCTGTCGGGCCAAGGGTAGTTTGCACATGGTTCAAAGTGGGTCAAACCCATCAGGATCGTGACACTCGGTTTCCTCTGATCATCAACCGACGTCACATTTTTCCGTCACGTGGCCCTCCGAGGGCCTCGACCCCTTGCACGGGCCGGCTGTTCGTCCTGAGTGCTGTTCGGACGGCGAGGCGAGGCGAGGCGACTCCCAGTCCGCCCAGACGGGCGGCCGCGCGAGGGGCTGGGGGGTGGCGCCGGGGCGCCGCTCAGCCAGTCCCCGGGGATCGATTCGCTGTTCTGGTGTACACGTAACCATCTTCCAGTTCTTCCACGTCCCCTCCAACGCGCAGGCAGGAAGCAGCCCACAGAGGCCGAAAACGTAGAAAACCGAAAGCTGCCTGCGGCGCCTTGATTTGGAGGACTCTTCACCCTCTTCCTTCATCCACGCCCTGCCCCACGGGAGGTGGTCGCCATCGGTGTTCTGAGGGCGGCGGGGAGGAAATGGAGGAGGAGGGGGCGGAGGGAGAAGCAGAGAGAAGGAGGTGCGGAGCAGGACGAGATGAGGTGGAGGAGGAGGAGGAGAAGATGGAGAAGGAGGATCTGACCTGAGTGGCAGCGTGGAAAAAAAGGCCCCAAACCGTTCCCCCCGTTCACCAGATTGGACGATGATTTTCTCACAGCACGAACGCTTTTCTGCCACACTCCAGCGATGGCGGGCGTGGGATGGGGCTGTAGGCAGTGCACTGCATGGAACCGTGGAACGAGGCAGAGATGTTTACACTGCCGAGGCACCGCCCGAATGGAGTCGAGCCAAACCCACGCCAGAAGCCACTGCCACGAGGCGCCTGGGCTCTAGGGAGGTCAACACCAGGAGGCGGAGGAGAACAGGCGCAAGCACCCTGGCTGTGCACGGGGCAGAAGCAGCAGCAGCCGTCGAAGACACCAGCACCTACTTCAAGGACCGCCACCACCTCAGGGCAAGCAACCAGAGATCTGGACACGCATGGCGAAATCGGGCTTCCTGTCGGTCGCGCTGCGTCGGCCAGATCTCCAGGCTGACAAAGTGCTCTGCCATCGCAGGCTGCGGGCAGCGGGGATGCAGGACCCACGGCTGGGGCAAGAATAATGTCATGCTAATACTCGCCCAGGATACGTTCCACGATTTCCAAAGTATCTCAGTGCGCAGCCTGTGCGGAACATAAAAAATACTCGAAATCATGGAAACCTTGGAAATTCTGGAACGCATCATTTTATCATTTTTTTGATTTCAACAATGCGCCCCACCCCTGTAGCCAAACAGAACGCAACAATCAATTCTCAAGATAGCGCGAAGCGGGCGGAGAAGACAGTGCTGAGGGGAGACAAGAGAGGAGGGGATGCGGAGCAGGGACGTAAATGATGCCTGCCATGGATGCAGAAAGCTCAACGAGTTAAAATATCAGACCCCATAAGCGTGCAGGTCCCGAATTCGAACACCGCTGTCATAACACAGACTGTTGCTTGGCATCCACGAGGACACCAATTCGTCTCGAGCCAATCACGCCCTCTCTCAGGGAAGGCAGGTCAACTTCCAAAAGCCGAGAGCGTAAACGTCATTCGCATCTTTCGGCTTCCAATTCCGCACGCCCTCCCCTGCGGGCAAGACCCCACCAAAGCCACTCACTTGCATTTCCAGGTACATCCCCCCTGGCATGGGGAAGTAGCCTGTGATTAAGTCGTCCTCTTTCCTGACTGGCATGCACCCGATACCAGCATCGCCATACTTCTGCTGCACCGACTCAAAGTGCTCCGCGGGCACCCCCGAGACTGTATAATGGATGTCGCCCCAAATCGGCCAGCAGGAAGTGCAGGACAGCATTTAGGGCGAGCTGATATTCTCGAGCCTCCGTTCGAGCCACGCTGTGGTGTGTGCTACTGCCACAGACTGGTCGGGCCGATTCCAATCCATTTACCTGCACGCGGAGTGGGTCTTTCTCTGCCCCGGAAACACTCTGGTGCCAGTAAGACACGAAGCCAACTCCGACATTTGCATTCCGCACTTCGTAGATGCGCTTCATCTGTAACAACTGTTCGTAGTGTGCCTTGACAGCGTCCAAATCATAGTGCGAGCGACTGATGTGTGGCTGCGTAGGGCCCGAACTGCTCATCAGTAGGACCAGCTCCTGACCCTGGAAGACGTGACGAGCCATCGGGAGATCTCTGACTGCCTGTCTGGTATCCGACGGCGCGGTCGCAGAAATAATCTCGACCACCTACTGCGTGTCGGGCACGCGAACGATCACCGAGTGGAAGAGCGGCGGCAGACTCCCGTCGCCCGAAGGCCACCTGAGCGCGAGGACGGGCACACCGTGGTCGAGAAGCCGACGCGCATGCGAGTCCAGGTCGTTGTCGTAGATGGCGGCGTGGACGTCCATCCTCTGGGAGTAGTCCGCAAGGCTGCCCAGCTCCTCCTGACAGATGCGCTCCACGTCGCGGACCGCGAGGCCACCAACCTCTTTGCCCCCCGCGCTGCCGTAGCCGTCGGCGTGGACCCCGTGAAAGTGGAACTCGGACTGCGTGCGGTGGTCAGACTCCCCGAGCACTGTCGCGAGGCGGACCCTGGCGGTTGCCCCGCACGCCTCCTTTCCAGCGACGTCCTCGAAGCGCCTGGCGGAGTGCTCCGACTCGTCGGGGAGGGCAGCACCCACGTCGATCGCGTCCTGGACCAGCTGCAGGAAGTTGGAGCGATCAGTCCCCGCAAACTCGTCCTCGGTCAGCACGGGGAAGAAGAACCTCTTGAACGCGAGGCTCTTGCCCGCGTGGCTGGCGCTCAGCGCAAAGGTGCTCGTGGTCAGCGCGTGGTACTTGATCGCGGACGGGTGGTGACTACCTACCAGACCACCCCAACCCAACCCGAAGGAGGAGTAGAGGAACCAGATTCGCAGGAGGAAAGGATCAACGCCATGGTAGCTTTCTTCAAGGAGAGGCAGACAGAGCAACTACAGCGTGGACGTGGAGCCGGCAGTGCGTGGACAGTGGGTGGGAGACCGACTATTTCCATCCAACTACTCCCAGGGGCTGGAATTCCGTCACCGTGCCCTTGAGGCATGAGCTGGAGTGTCCCCAGGTCCCTTGATCAATCCCCTGGAGCCTCAGTCCTCAATCCTCAGGATTTTTGAGGGCCCAGACCCCGAATCTCAGATCTCTTAGGGCTTGTCGCGTGCCCTATGGGGCCATCGCGGCTTGCCAAGACGGACCAGGAAGCCTTCGAAACGTCCCAACAGAGCCCCGAGAGCCTTGCCCAACGGGCCCCAAAAGGCTGAAATCATGTAGTTGCCTTAGGTATTTCAATGTCTTGGGTGTTCTCGACGTTTCGAGCTTCTGACGCTCCAAAACGGCCAAAGAGGCTCCCAAGACCGCCCCAAGATGGCCCAGGAGGCCCCGAAGAGGGCCCCAAGACGACCCAAGCGGGGGCCCCAGGCAGCCCCAAGACGGCCCCAAGGGGGGCCCAAAAGGGAAAGCACGAACCGAAAATCCGAGCCTTCCGCTCAGAGATACCCCAGGAGGCCCCACGAGGCCACCAGAGGCCCCCAAGATGCCCCAAAGAGGCCCCCAAGACGCCCCTAAAGGCTCCAAAACAACCCCCAAGAGGCCTCAAAAACTACCCCCACGAGACCCCCGAGAGGCCTCCCGCGACATCCCAACGAACATCATAGAGGCCTATGACCCACAACCGAGGCAAGATGGCAGGATAAGCCGAAGGTCATTAGATACACAACCCGCATTGCGAAGCCAGCGAATGCTTACCCATGGGTCGAAGTCCGAATTCAAAAAAACTCTACCAGGCAGACCTTGGCATTCTTCCACGCCTCAACGTGCCAGGGGGCACGGTGGAAATCGTAAGGAAGTCTCAGGCGAAACGCCCGGCCAACACGTCTTGGGATGCGACAGAGAGGAATTACTCATAAGGAACAGGAATGGAGGAGGAGGAGGAGGAGGAGGAGGCGACGCGAATCCCACCAGCCCTTTAGGGCGTACCTGGTCTTGCGTGTATTGTCTTCCACCTGCCCCTCTTCACGTTCGGGGGGAGGTTTACCCCTCCCCCTACCCCCTCCCCTGGACCTGGACGGGGGATCCTCCGAGGGGTTGGGGCGTCCAAGATGGCCCAAGATGGCGCCAAGAGCGCCTCGGAGAGCCCAAGATGAGCTCCAAGATGGCTCAAGATACCCAAAGATGCCAAGAGGCCCAAAGACCGCTCCAAGGCGGCTCAAAGTGGCCAAAGAGCTCCTCAAGGAGGCCCCGAAGAGGCCAAAATCCTTCCAAGGCCAAAGTCCTTCCAAAACATATGGAAAATCATGTTTGTGTCTGATGCCTCGCCTTCTCGCTTCCGATGGCCTTCCGAGGCCGCAAGATGGCTCCAAGAGAACCCAAGAGGGCCCCAAGAGAGGCGCAAAAGAACCCAAAGACGGCCCCAAGAGCGACGCTCCAGGAGCGCCCGAAGAGGGACAGAAGAGGCGAGTTTAGGCACTCTAGAATGGCGACGGTAATCAGGGAACCCCCTTGTATTGATCGATGTCCTCCAAGATGGCCCGAAGAACGCTCCCAAGGCACCCAAGAGCGCCCCAAGAGAGCCCCAAGGGCGCCCAGACGGCCCCACGAGGCGCCCAAGATGCCTCCAAGAGGCCCCCAAGAGGCTTCAAGATGATCCCCGAGGCACCCAAGATGCCCCCCAGACGTTACAAGAGGCCTGCACAAACTCCCAAGAGTAACCGAAGAGGCTCTTATGCTCGTCCTTTGTTTCTCCTCCTCCTCCTCCTCCTCCTCCTCCTGCTCCTCCTCCCTCTCCTCCTGCTCCTCCCTCTGTGATTGATCGGGCCCGCCT